TGAACCTATAAATATAAAGACTGCATGATTTAAAAACTAATAAGATGAGGAAATCGTTAGTGAGAGTTAGCTTTAGAATATGACTCCAAAGTTTGTCATTGAAAACTCAAAATTCTATATTAACTTTTATCATTATCCGATAGAAACATATATAAATTTTAGTTAATGACACACTTATTGTTTTTAATAAAAGTTTTTGTCTCACCACAACTATTAAGTTGTTTTTGATAGTTTACGACTACATAAAAGGAACTTGACCACTAAAATAATCGGAATAAGAATTTTTAATTGTTTATTACTTTTTGGTAAATGCAGAACAAACAGAAATAGCAAAATCTAAAAAATCAACAGAATTGTTAAATTGGGAGGATTTGTCAAAGATGAAATACTCTTGGAATGTGGCATGTGAAGTTCTTAGATTAGTTCCACCAACCCAAGGTACGTTTAGAGAAGCGATTTCTGATTTCACATACAAGGGCTATTCAATTCCAAAGGGTTGGAAGGTAAGTTACAAAGATTCATTACTTAACACGAATTAACTCCTTGGTGAATAGGTTTCTAACTCTTCAATAAATGGTTCTTTAATATATATTGCAGTTGTATTGGAGTACAAACTCGACACATAAAAACCCTGATTTCTTTCATGAACCTAAAAAGTTTGATCCTTCAAGATTCGATAGTAAAGTGCCAATTACACCATATACATACGTACCATTTGGAGGAGGGGCTCATTTGTGTCCTGGAAAAGAATTTGCCCGACTAGAAATACTTGTGTTTATACATCATCTTGTGAGGAGATTCAAGTTGCAGAAAGTAATTCCGAACGAGGATGTTATTTTCAATCAAGTTCAGCCTAAGCTTGCCAAAGGACTTCCGATTCACCTGCATCCTCATAAACCTTGAAATTGAAATTCTTCATTATAGAAAAATGGAGATGGTGCAAAAATAATGCCTTAAATAAAATTAATACCACAAGTAATGTTTAATTCAAAAGTAAGTTTTCCTGAATCTCATAGTGTGTAATGTTTAATTTTTTTTCTTTTCATGTAATTCCTCTTGGGGTTGAGTATATAAACGAAGTCGTTTCCAAACCATCAAATTATGTCGTTTTTCCCATCTAGTTATAACATATGGTTGTAGTAATTTATATTATTCAACTTAAAATTGTTGATGTATTGCCCTTTATGACCCCTTTATTTTATGCAGAAAAATGAAAGGAATATGGAGTATCTTCTATTTTCATGTGTGTGCAGGAAAACATTCAAAACTTATTCATTTAAAACTAGACAATACTCTGTGACTTTTACAACTACTACATTAAACACACATAAATGGAAAATGGCTTGGCAGCCTTGATTAAAACAAAACAAGGTCAAACACTGAAAGTAGAGTAGGAATGATAAATGGACAGCTCCCAAACCTGATTATATCCTGCCTCCTTTTTTTATATTAAAAACTAATAGATTATTCCAATAAAAATGATCTAGAACACTGAGATACATAAGATTTTCTAACACTCTGATTTCAATAAAACTTTCAAAAATTGTCTAAACTCCCATTAATTTATATACTGTTCAATATTTTATCTAACATCTCATTAATTCACAAAAAACTTTCGATAAGACTTTATATTTTATTTTTTTAAATCTTTATATCTCGTCCGGTCTGCTTGTTTAGAGAAACATGTACAAAAACTAACAAACGGGCTTCTAAGTATATATTTTTATATATAATAAAAATTCATTAATAGTACAATAAATTGATAATTATTATAAAAATAATCAAAACAAAAAAACTTCAGCTTAATCAAGTGTGAACTTGATATACGAATTGGCCGAAAAAGAGATTAGAGAATAGTCGGAACAATGATGTGCACTTAATTCCTGGCAAAGAAAGCTATTGGGTTTAATCGAATTAATGAACTCAAATGTCAATCCCTTAACGCATGGGTGGGCACGAGTATTACACTTAAGGGGTGTAACATCCCAAAATTTAAGGCCACAAATTTCATTTTAATTAAGTTATTATATAAAACCAACGGTATAAAAACATTCATAATAATATCTCATGTCAAACCAAAGTGTCAACAATCAAAACATATTATCACAAAACCATATAGAGTGTAATCCCAAAGATCTCATGTGCGGAAAACATAGTGTGATGCGCTGCGATCAAGCCGGCTACTTTCCTTTAAAAACGTGTACCTGAAAACAAAACTAATTAAACTGTAAGCACGAAGCTTAGTGAGTTCCCCCATCATACCACATATCATACAATCACATGACATACATACTGTCAGACATATCTGGGTGCCCGACCTACCCCTTCGGTCCTCTCGACCGGTGACCTTGCCTAGCATATCTGGGTGCTGGCCTACCCCTTCGTTCCTCTTGACCGGTCTCGGGGGATTATCTCACCCCCTACTACTACCACATAATATCATATCACATATATCATAATCTATCTAGCATAGTTGGGTACTAAACTACCCCTTCGGCCCTATTAGCCGGTAACCGGGGAGTTTTCCCCCTACTACCACTATCACATAACATCATATCATGTTAACACATAAAACATATCAAATAGGCACAAACCAGACAATTATCACAAAGAAAATCATCTCATACATAATCACCTACTGGTGGGCCAGCATTGGTGCCTTAGACCCACCTCTACTGGAAGGAAACTCACCTCACACTGCTGAAGTCCCGAAGACACAATCCCAGCTGCTGGATGACAGATTCCCGAACTGTCAGTATTAAAACATCACCCAATTAATAATTGGGTCCCAACACATAACCATAAGTCCATGCTTGGGGTAAAAGACTGCTTTACCCCAATCTTAGCTTGATCCAAG